AAATATATACCTGATCATTTTCAATCACAAGTTCTTTAGAGAATAAAACATTCTTTGAGCAAAACCTCATGAGAACTAGAATTCCCTTTTCAATATATGGTCTCTCCTAGAGCTGTAACTAAATATGACTGAGTGGCAGAAAAACAAATCTCAAGAAATGACGGACTTAAGAAAATTTTATCGAAGAAAGCACAAAGCAAGTTGCAATAATACCAATTTGAAAATGAAAGCTCCCCTGCTTCAAGAGAAGCAGATATAAAAACTCACAGCAATGTCTGAAAGACCCAACTGGATCTGTTGAGTCTCTGATGGGCATTAATAAGCAGGAACACTACACAACCGAAACTAGAAATTTAGTTTTACTTAGTAGTTGATTAAATCATTATTAAAGTCACAGGTTTTGAAATTAATAGCTCCATTTTTAATCAAAACTTTTTAAAGTCAAGTTTCATCGTCTGTGTTCCTATTATGTGAACTGAAACTAATTTTGCTAAGTCCTTAGATAGCCAATGTTGAAATTCTATTAACTCTATGACATTCAAAATAAAATTATATACCATTAATTTATTCACCACGCATTTTAAATCCATACATTGAACAGGAAGAATTTCATCAATATAAAAGTACAATTCAAATACAAAGAAATGATAATGTTCGGCCAGGCATGGTGGCTCAAGCCCGTAATCCCAGCACTTTGGGAGGTGAGAGGACTGCCTAAAGCTCAGGGGTTTGAAACCAGCCTGGGCAACTTGACGAGACCTCGTCTCTACAATCAATCAGAAAATTAGGCAGGCGTGGTAGTGCGCACCTTGTAGTTCCAGTTACCTGGAAGGTTGAGGCGGAAGGATCACCTGAGCACAGCAGGTTGAGGCTGTGGTGGCCATGAGCATGCCACTGCATTCTAGCCTGGGTGACAGAGTGAGACTCTGACTCAAAAAGTCTTTTTAAATAAATAAATGATATATGTTTGAGATGATGGATATGCTAATTGTCCTCATCTGATCACTATGCATTGTATATATCTAAACATCACAACGTACCCTATAAATAAGTCCAATTTTAAGTGACCACTAAAAACAAATACATAAAAGTACAATTAGAGTCAGCTGGGTTTATATTTGTTAAATGCCCACAAAAGACTCAACATACCAGTTTAGACTTTTCCAAAATTATGTTCTATATTTGTATTATATCTCTTACAAGGGGGAGCTATTACTTTTCAGAAGGTTCATTAACACATTGTATACCCTGGGCCAGGTGATCTCTAAAGCCCCTTCCAGCTCTGAAAGGCTATGCTGTACTAAGTTATATAAGTGTTGTTTTTAAGACTCCAAATCTCCTCAAGTCTTTATACCTATACAGAAAAATGGCTTTAACTTTCTCTTCCAATGCAACAGAGAAAATAAAGACCAAGACTTAAGTAATGGCCATGAGCATGACCTAAACTAGAAAACAAGCTGTTACCTCGAAGGGGAAGAAAAACTACCTGTAGGTAATTTACGCTTCCCAGTTACAGTCTATAAAAAATGACTGTGCCCAAAATAACCATGGGAAATGACACTCTAGGGTACACAGGAACACAGGATGCCATTAACACAACTTTATTTCCAAGAGTGAAAGGGAAAAGTTCCTGATAAGTCATTTTCTCTTCAGTCAACAACAACTATGAATTCATTTTATTTTTTTAGAGGGCTCCCTGTGTTGCCAAGGCTGACCTCAAACTCTTGGGTTCAAATGATTCAACTGTCTCAGATCTCCCAAAGTGCTAGGATTACAGGGGTAAGCCGCCACACCCAGTCAATAATTATGAATTCAAAGCACAAATAACAGCAAGACTTTGAGGATGCAGAATTAGAAAAACCTTTTTTTTTTTAGTCAGGGTCTCACTCTGTCACTCGGACTGGAGTGCAGTGGCACAATCACGGCTCACCACATCCTCAACCTCCTGGGCTCAGGCAATCCTCCTACCTCAGCCTCTCAAGTAGCTGGAACTACAGGCAAATGCCATCATGCCAACTAATTCTTTTGATTTTTTGTAGCAATGAGGTCTTGTTATGTAGCTTAGGTTGGTGTCCAACTCCTGAGCTCAAGCAGGACTAGGATTATAGGCGTGAGTCACTGTGACCCGCTGAAAAACTCTGTATTTTATGGCTTAAATTTAATTTGGTAAAAATAGCTTTAAAGCATAATCTCTAAAAGCTTTTTTCCCCCCACAAAGGCCACTAATCTATTGAAAAAGGTCAACAAAGAAATATGTACAAGAAAAAAATATTTAGGAAGAGTGATAGAATAACTTTTATTTTTAAAATATACTTAACTATTTGCAGTAATTTTCATTGAATAATTTTTAAATTAATATTACGGTCAGGTAAAGCAACAGAGAACAACAGTTCTAATAAGCATAAAACAAAAAGTTAAAAGAGAAAGCTCATAGGGAAGGAAAAAAGAAAACAAAAATAAAAGAAAAGAAGATACAAAGCTAGGAGTTTAAGAGATGAAAGAAGAGAGAGGAACACATTAACAGCTGGAGTCACAGAAACTGTATGTCACTTAGGCTACAAGCTGAATAAGCTTTTTTTTTCATCCCATTAGCTCTTCAGCAAGGAATTATTATTCACAGATCTGCAAGCACTTTTGGCAACCCATCGGGCTCTGAAGAGACAATTCGTCTACCATGTTCAGCACCATTATCAAAACAATAGTGTTTAACAGAATGTGCACCAAGGTAACAAGAAACAAAGGGTGCTGGTAAGCTGGCATTTGCCTTATTTTAGATGATCCATCAAACTGTAAAAGTTTTAGAAAAAAAATCTGTTGGCAACAATCATATATACAGATTTTTTTTTTTTTTTGAGTCGGAGTCTCACTCTGTCGCCCAGACTGGAATGCAGTGGCCGCTCCCGGCCACCGCAGCCTCGACCTGCTGGGCTCCGGCGATCCTCCCACCTCAGCCTTCTGAGTAGCCGGAATTACAGGCATGCGCTACCACGCCCAGCTGATTTTTTGATTTATTGTAGAGATGAGGTCTCGCTGCCCAGGCGGGTCTCGAACCCGCGGGCTCAGGCAGTCCACTCACCTCAGTCTCCCAAAGGCGCGGGATTACAGGCTGAGCCACCGAGCCCGGCTAACCATATATTTTTAATCACGAATTACCCATATGCTCTGTGGTGAGTTAAGCCACTCTCATTTTATTTTGTATCTAGTCACTGAAGTTCTAGAAGGTCAGAGTTAGGAGAATTCATGCACCCTACATCGATAACTATGTCTTAACTAGTGCGTGCTTAGTTATCACTCTGGCTTATTTCCTAAATTATTAAATACGATGTCTAATAATCAAGCAGACAAATCCAGTACTCAGTGCAATGACCCTGACATATTTTTCTCCACCAATGATTCATCCTTCTGATCCAAGAGGTAAGAGATAGGGCAGCCCATAAAATGTAGGGGACAACCCCTTGTGTTCCCTCCCAGTGTGGAAGCTTTTCTGTCCTCTCAATAAACCCTGCTTTCAAAATAAATAAATAAAATTTAGGATAACACATAACAGTGAACAGGTGTTAGAGTGGACTACGCAGATAGCTCCTATATTTCTAAAACCCCACATTCAAAATACCAAGCTACAATGTGAACTCTAGAACAAGCAGTGATACCAATACCTGAATCAGAACACACTAAGTTCTTGAGATGAATGGAAACTGTACAGAAAACTGGGTCATTTCAAAATGCTGAATAGGTCATGCTATCCCATCGTTAGCTTTCTATCCAGGCAGCACAGATTTGGCCACCGACTCTCAGTATAACCCACTGTTTCTACCTTTTTCAAGAAGAAGAAATTATATTCACTTTCCTCAATAACTGAAATCACTAAGAGTTGTGGGATATAATCGAAAGCGGTCAAGTCACTGGGGAAGGTATGTTCACGGAGAACAAGACAAAGAAGGAATAGGGTACAGCCATAAACTTTACACCCTTCCTATCAGGGTTCCCAGCAAACTGCAGTGTAGGAGTATTCTGCATCAGTCAAATAAATCCATCCAAAACATGTTTATTGAGGCAAGTACTCCAGGAGAATACAGGTACGTTAAATGAATTACGTTAGCCTCACTGTGTTCACCGTCTCTTAGGAGAGATAAATCACATCAAATTTTGGTGAGTATTAGGATTAAAACGCTGAGCTAAGTATTTAAGAAACACATTGATGGAGAGGCAGAATTCTCACTTAAGGGGATGAGAGAACAGAGAAGATAGAATCACAGAGAGCTTCACAGACCACAAGAGATCAGAGCTGGGTGTTACAGGTGTAAAGAAATGTGTTAATGGAAGAGAAGGAACATTTTGGTCCATGTGGGTCAAACGAATGAATAACCTAAACAAACATATGAAAACAAGCCAGGAGCACTAAATGTGGCTGAAGCATGAAAAAGGGCAAAGGAAAAAGAGACTAGAAAGTTCACACGAAGCCAAAAGGACATGGATGGCTCGACAAAAAGTTGGACATTATTCTGAAAACAACAGGGAAACGGTGGTGGGTTCTGAATTAAGGGAGGTTGACAAGAGCAGATCAATATTTTAGAGAGATAAATGTGGTGATGGTGTGAAAGGTAGATTACTGCGGAATGGAGACAGTGAACGGGTACAAAACAATTACAAAATGAAGTCTTTGAAACAGATCCAGGAATTATAAACCCTGATCCCCACTCAACCTAAGTAATGCTGTTTTATGCACTTAAAAAAAAGGTCCTCAATACATTTTTTTAAATTCTATACTCCGAGTTTTTGCTAATTCAGTTAGTTTTCCAATTATTCCAAATCAAACAGGTTTTATTATGCATACCTTTGATGTAATCAGCATTTCTGGTTTTGAAATTTGATATCAGTGTCACCAAAATTATTTTCACACTATTATCTCACGATATGTAGTGAAGGGGTGAAAAAACTTGCTACGTATCAAATATGACCCAATAAAGTAATTGCCATGGGGTTTTCTTTTTTATCCTTACCATTACAAGTTCTTCCTGTAATTCACTGCAACTTTTTTCATTATACTGGAGTCTCTTTGAAAGGTCTATAATTACTTTCTTCTGTTCCTCGATCTCTTCATTTAGTTTCTTGTTTTTGGAGAAATATTCTCTTTCTAACCTGAAAAGTTAAAGTGTCAGAGCAGATTTTTCAAATATGCTTTATCAACTGCTATTATACACCTTTAATACAAGTGGCAGACGTGCTATATACCATGTTTTCATGCCTAAAAGCTTTTTAAAGGCCACTTTTCCTTTTTCCAAATGAAAAGAATTGTACAACTCTAAATAAAAGACTTTAAGGTACTGATACTTCCCCTTTGATAACAAGTATCTGTACTATGTTCACGGTTATAAATCAAAGAGGTTTGGTAGGTGTTGATTTGGTCTCACCATTATTTTTTTGATGAACAAAATCTACCCTCCACAGTTCAGTTCACTCAGAAACTGCCTCAAGAATGAGAAAACAGTCCTACCAAACAATTCTAAAATTAAAGTTCAACATTAGAAAGAGAGCAGATGCTTTATTTCTGAATGTCTATGCATGAATGGCGAGTGGCACAGAAAATCCTAAAGAAATAATAACCAAAAATCATTCACATTCACTTTGAAGATGTGTTCATTTATTTTCAAAGAATTGGCCTTCCTATTTAAACTTTGTTCAGGGTGATATTAAACTGTGTTTGAATTCTGTATGGACATATGATGAAAGGTAGCTTGGAACTATTTTTGTTTACAATTTACGGTAGAGTAGTAGTACTCTAAAAAATAATTACAAAACAATTACAAAATTGTAATTGAGGGGGGCACATCTCGTCAACACCGGTACCTGCATAATGAACATTTGCATACCTAACCCTGAATTGTACCCCACATCTTTCAAATTAAAAAAAAAAAAAAAAAAAAGCCGGGCTCGGTGGCTCAGCCTGTAATCCCGCGCCTTTGGGAGGCTGAGATGAGTAAATTGCCTGAGCCCGCGGGTTCGAGACCCGCCTGGGCAGCGAGACCTCATCTCTACAATAAATCAAAAAATCAGCCGGGCGTGGTAGCACATGCCTGTAATTCTGGCTACTCGGAAGGCTGAGGCGGAAGGATCGCCGGAGCCCAGCAGGTCGAGGCTGCGGTGGCCGGGAGCGGCCACTGCACTCCAGTCTGGGCGACAGAGTGAGACTCCAACTCAAAAAAAAAAAAAAAAAAGCCAGGCTCGGTGGCTCAGCCTGTAATCGCACGCCTTTGGGAGGCTGAGGTGAGTGAATTGCCTGAGCCCGCGGGTTCGAGACCCGCCTGGGCAGCGAGACCTCATCTCTGCAATAAATCAAAAATCAGCCGGGCGTGGTAGCGCATGCCTGTAATTCCGGCTACTCAGAAGGCTGAGGCGGAAGGATCGCTGGAGCCCAGCAGGCCGAGGCTGCGGTGGCTGGGAGCGGTCACTGCACTCCAGTCTGGGCAACAGAGTGAGATTCCAACTCAAAAAACAAAAAAACTTTGGCCAGGCTCGGTGGCTCAGCCTGTAATCCCAGCACTTTGGGAGGCCGAGGCAAGTGGACTGCCTGAGCCCACGAGTTCGAGACCAGCCAGGGCAACTTGGCAAGACCTCGTCTCTACAATAAATCAAAAATTAGCTGGGCATGGTAGCACACGTCTGTAGTTCCAGCTACTTGGAAGGCTGAGGTGGAAGGATCGCCGGAGCCAGCAGGTCAAGGCTGCGGTGGCTGGGAGCGTGCCACTGCACTCTAGCCTGGGCGACAGAGTAAGACTCCGACTCCTTAAAAAAAATTGTTTTAATTTTTAAAAAATTTAAAACTTTTACAGTAGATAATCCACTGTAGATAATCTACCAAACGGATAATATTAATTCAAATTAAAATGTTGGGACAGGTATGGTGGCTCATACCTATAATTTCAGCACTTTGGGAAGCTGAGGTGAGGATCATTTAAGGCCAGGAGTTTTGAGACCAGCCTGGGCAACACAGTGAGACCCTGTCTCTACCAAAAAAAAAAAAAAAATTAGTGTTGTCACTGTTTTGTTTTGTTTTGTTTTGTTTTTGAGTTGGAGTCTCACTCTATTGCCCAAGTTAGAGTGCAGTGGCACAAGCATGGCTCACCTCCCAGGCTCAGGTGATCCTCCTACCTCAGCCTCCCAAGTAGCTGGGACTACAGATGTGCATCACCATGCCCAGTTATCTTTTCTATTTTTTGTAGAGATTAGGTCTCACTATGTTGTCTAGGCAGGTCTTAAACTCTGGGCTTAAGCAATCCTCTCACCTTGGCCTCCCTACATGCCAGGATTACAGGCGTGAGTCACTACACCCAGGCTAACCATTATTTTTGATCTGAGATCTTCATAATAAATGTCATAGACTATTTCCTCTGATGTTTAAACTGTAAGGCAGAGGACAGGGTGACTCTCAGGATAACCAAATCCATACTACTACTATTATAATCAAATACAAAGCTAATTTTTGAATGGCACATGAACTTACTCTGAAAAGTCAACATTACTTTCTCTAGGGTTGATCACAGACAATTCCAGTGCTAATCTTTTGTATATCCTCCTTTGATCAAGAAAATTCCAAGGCAGAGTAGCTAAAATTTTTAATTTATTTTGTTTATATTTTTATAAACATGTACAGGATTGGCTGCTATAGTTATGCAAACCTCCCAGAGAGTAGAACTAAACAATAAAAATAGAACAAGGTAGAAAAACAGATAAGAAAAGCATTCCAGAAGTCCCAATATACCTCGTATAAACAACTGAAGTTCCAGAAAATAAAGGTGAAAAAAATGGAAGGGAAACAATGACCAAATCAATGACACAGGAGAATTTCCCAGAAATGAGTACCTGAGTCTCTAAAATTGAAAGATCTCAAAAAAGTTCCTAGGAAAACAAACGAAAAAGAATCCATGCCAGGCCCATCATCATGAAATTTCAGAACACTGGGAACAAAGAGAAGATTCGAGAGAGTGTGCATAAAGTATGGAAGTACATATATATTATTATTTTATCATGTATTATAATGTAACATCAGTAAACCATTTCATATATTGGCCTAAGATTTTAGACTTGATGGCTATTCTGCATAAGTTTCAAAGTAAAACATGAACTACACAAAAAAGATTAGGACTTCTCAAACACTAGAACTGAATGGATATCAGCCAAACTATGAAAAAAGATGAAGATCAAAAACTCTCAGAATGCAAGTTTAAAATTTTCCTCTGATGAATAATTTCTCAAGAAATGACTTTACAATAGAGTAAATCAAACAGGAAGAAGGCACAAGATAAGCAAACAAGGGTTCCAAGATAGAAAAGAAATAGAGGGAATGCAAAGGATAGTGTTAAAGGGAGGCCCTAGAACTACTGTGTACAGGGAACCTAAAAAACAATGTACAGCATGAAGAAAGAAGAGAGAAGAGCTTAGGAGGAATGGCTCTTAGAAGAAACTTAAAATGACAGAATTTCTGAGGTGTAGGAATATGAATGACAAATTTTCAGTTAAGTTAGACAGCTTAAGAACAACCTAGTGAGTGATTGGCTAATCACATAAATAAAAATAAAAATAAAAATTTGATTCAGCAAATCTTTACAAGCAGCTCTTTATAAGTAGGCACTATTCTAGGCATTGGGAAAGCAATGAAATAAACAAAGTTCCTCTCTCTGTATAAGACAGACAATAAACAAGGAAGTATAGAATAAATTGTGCTATTAAAAAATTAAGATGAGCTACCAAAAACAATTGTGTAGAAAAGAATAAACTATGCTGTACCCCAAAACATAACTCTATTAAGAGGATGGGAAGAGGGGGAAGAGAGAAGGAATAAGTGCACGTTTTGTGGGAGTAGCGTAAAGCAGAGATAAATACGTAGAGGCCAAGAGATACGATCTCACGGTGGTACTTGAAAAAGTGGCAGAATATGCTTGCTATTTAGAAATGTGAAGTCAAATATCAGAAGAAAGCTATCACAAAAGTAGTTGCCTCACAGGAGTGGAAACTGGTAGCAGAGCACACCGTGGCCTGAAACTGCCGTCTTCCCTAAGCCCAACAGTACTATTTTGCTTTTTAGACTATGTACAAGTGGTCATTTGGTAAAATCAAGAGGCTACTTAACAACTGCTATTACTCAGCAAAGCAAATGCACTTAGCATTTTGTACTACTGTATACATAAAGCCCAAACTCTTTGCTGTTAGAAATCTGATGTATGACCCAAAAAGGCTGGCTCCTACAGCTTCGGCCAACAGCCCCAAGCAAGGGGGGCTACGCGGGGCGGGAGTAGGGCAGGTTGTGGGGCGCCCCGGTCTCTCTGAATTCTGGCGGAGAAGAGCCAGGAACAAAACGTAGAGGATTTAGGCAAGAAAGGGAAGGGAGAAAAAGAAAACTAGAGCTGGGGGATGCCGTCTTTCCTACTGGATTCCTATTCTTTTCTGTTTTTGACAAAACAAGAACGGGCTATTTTAGCAAATAGTCATCTTTGGGCTATCTTTTACCAAGAATGTAAACAGTGACAGTGCTGCTGAGTTATAAAACTTATTATTTTTATTTTTGGGTGATATGTTTAGAAAAATCACGAAGTTCCTAAATATGGAGTTCAATAAAATAAATAAATTTAGATCCAGTCCATTCAGTACCATATCTTAGACCACTGTGGTTTTAAGTTAAATTTAAACCATATTTGCGGATTACCATGATCTCCTTCTCTCAACTGTTGCCCAGCAATTGGTTACCAAGACTAATAAAGACTTGACTATAGGCCGGGCTCAGTGGCTCACGCCTGTCATCCTGCACTTTGAGAGGCGGAGGTGAGAGGATTGCCTGAGTTCAGGGGTTCTAGAACAGTCTGGGCAACTTGGCAAGACCTAATCTCTACAACAAATTTAAAAAAAAAAAAATTAGCTGGGCGTGGTGGCACACACCTGTGGTTCAGCTACTTGGAAGGCTGAGGCAGAAGGATCACTTGAGCCCAGGAGGTCGAGGCTGTGATGGCCATGAGCATGCCACTGCACTCCAGCCTGGGCAACAGAGTGAGACTCCTACTCAAAAATAAAATAAAATTAAAAAAGACTTGACTATATTTAAGAACTCAAATGCTTGATGGGCACAAAAACACTATAGATAGAAGGAATAAGAGCTAGTATTCAGTGGCACAATACGGCAACTACAGTTAACAATAACTTACTGTATGTTTCAAAATAACTAAAAGAGTAGAATTGGAATGTTCCTAACACAAAGAAATGCTAAATGCTTGAGGTGATAGATATCCCAATTACCCTGATTTGATCATTACACATTGTATGCTTGTATCAAAATAGTACATGTACCCCATAAACAGGCACAACTATTTATATATCCATAATAATTAAAAATAAAAATATTTAAAGAAAATCAAAAAAAAGATTACTGAAAAGATTAGCTGCATACTGCAGGTCTTAAATAGAAAAGAATTTATAACTAAGAGAGTGTGGTAACAGAATTATGAGATATATATATTCCACCTAAAATAATTTCATACAGGCATGTCCATTGTTATGAAACTGGAGAGCAAAATTATAACTCCGAAATACACAGCTTTTTTCTCCTGCCTTTTTTCATCTGCCTGGCAAGAAACAGAAGCCTAAAAACCTAAACCAATGGCAAGATACATGCTCCAACTAAGGCAGCACTTTCTCTGTAACCTCATTAGTTCTTCCCAACAAGTAAAGTAATATCCTACCCCAAAACTCCCTACTCTCAAAGTTGTAAATTAAAGGTAAGTAGTATCTTTGTTTGTTTGGGTTTTTTTGAGTTGGAGTCTCACTCTGTCACCCAGACTGGAGTGCAGTGGCCGCTCCCGGCCACCACAGCCTCAACCTGCTGGGCTCCAGCGATCCTTCCGCCTCAGCCTTCCAAGGAGCTGGAACTACAGGCGCACGCTACCACGCCCGGCTGATTTTTTTATTTTTATTGTAGAGATGAGGGCTCGCCAAGTTGCCCAGGTGGGTCTCGAACCCGTGGACTCAGGCAATCCACTCAGCTCGGCCTCCCAAAGCGCGGGATTACAGGCTGAGCCACCAAGCCCGGCCAGTAGTACCTTGAAGACCTAAAATCGGTCAGTTCTCCTTTTGAAATATATTAAAGACCCACTTTGAAAAATTAATGTTTGAGAGTTTGTGACTCTAAAAGGCTTTGAAATATTCTTTAAAGAGGACTCTGAAGAATACTCAGAAGTACAGGTAGAAAATGAAATAACTTATCCAATCATCCCTCGAGTCACGTCAGTCCTTATATCATAGCTATTTGGGATGGAAGTGGCTGTGATATTACATACAAAGAAATGGAAGACAGGAAGGGAGATGGGAAGTCACAGAAACTTTCAATGACTACTGCGCTTTAATTATCATGTAACTGTTATCATTTATTTATGATTATTTAATTTTTGATATTATAGTATATCTATACAGAGACAGAGAATAGATAAGGGACATTATGTTAAAGCATTAAGGATTAGCTGGGCGCGGTAGCTCAAGCCTAAAATCCCAGCACTTTGGGAGGCCAAGGCGAGAGGACTGCCTGAGCCCACAGGTTCGAGACCAGCGTGGGCAACATGGTGAGACCTCATCTCTACAATAAATCAAAAAATTAGCTGGGCGTGGTAGCGTGTGCCTGTGGTTCCAGCTCCTTGGAAGGCTAAGTCAGAAGGATCACCTGAGCCCAGCAGGTCAAGGCTGCGGTGGCCGTGAGCGTGTCCCTGTACTCCAGCCTGGGCAACAGAGTAAGACTCCAACTCAAAAAAAAAAAAAAAAAAGCATTAAGGATTGATAGTTAACTAGTGCTTAGTTGGAATATGTATCTAATATTTAGAAATGTCACTTGATACTTACTGAATTACAAAAATTTGAGTGAAGAATTTCAACTGCAAAAACACATAACAGCAAAACAAAACTTAAGGAAACAATGTGCTTTGGGGTCCAATTAGAAAAATGTGTAGGTTGGACTATTAGAGCTTAGTTGTTAGCTGGTATATTAAAATTCCTCTGGTCCGACCTTTGTAGGACTCTCTTCTTCAACATCCATGACAGGGAATCATCCACCCTCTGCTTTGAATTTCCCAAGGCAGAGAGCTCACTAGTTCCCCAAAGATGCCTATTATTTATTTCATTGTTAGAAAGCATTAGTTATTGGAAGCAAAATCTGACCTCTTCCAGTTTCTCTTGTAGGTCTTAATCATCACCTCAAAGCTACAGTAAAGAAGACTGCATTATATTCTATATAAGAGCTTTTCAAATATATTTAATATATAATATTTGAATACATATTTGAATAATATTTGATACATTCTAATACATTAAATGTGCTGATTCAAGAAATGGTTCAAAGGAAATAAAGGAGAATAAGTTCTTTTTTTTTTTTTTTCTGAGCTGTAGTCTCACTCCGTCGTCCAGGCTGGAGGGCAGTGGCACCTCACGGCCACCACAGCCTCCACCCACTGGACTCCAGTGATCCTCCCGCCCCAGCCTTCCAAGTAGCCAAAACTACAGGCGTGCACTACCACACCCAGCTGATTTTTGATGTATTGTAGAAATGAGGTCTCGTCAAGTTGCCCAGGTGGGTCTCAAACCCGCGGGCTTAGACAATCCTCTCTCCTTGGCCTCCCAAAGTGCTGGGATTACAGGCTGAGCCACGGAGTCCAGCCAGAGAATAAGTTTTTAGAATAACATTCAAAGAATGTCATTTCAGTCAAAATAGAGGAAGCAAAAAAATTCAGTTAAGAATTACTGGCTTCAGCACTTTGGGAGGCCGAGGTAGAGGACTGCCTGAGACCATGGGTTTGAGATCTGCCTGGGCAACTTGGCGAGATCTCATGTCTACAATAAATCAAAAAAGTAGCTGGGCATGATGGTGCATGCCTGTAGTTCCAGCAACTTGGAAGGCTGAAGTGGAAAGATCGCCTGAGCCCAGCAGATTGAGGCAGCGGTGGCCGTGAGCGTGTCCCTGCACCCTACCCTGGGCAACAGAGTGAGACTCCTACTCAAAAAAAAAAAAAGAATTACTGATTTAAAATATCATAAGCATTAATAATAAAAATAACCACAATTTTAAAATAGTTTTACCTTTTTTTTAATTTGTCTTTCAAGTGAAATCTATGATTTTAGCCATATCCACAAAAATTACCACTATATAAATAATACATTTCATTAAATCAAATCACTTCTTATAATAAAGTGTTTTAAAAGAACTCTTTACATTGTCACGGTAAGTGGAAAACCATTAGCTACTTGTCATAAAAAAAACTAAGATTAGAAATAAATACATAGGTTGGGCACAGTGGTTCATGTCTATAATCCTGGCACTTTGGGAAGCCAAGGTAGGAGGATGGCTTGAGCCCAGGAGTTTGAGACCGGCGTGGGCAACATAGCAAGACCCTGCCTCTACAAAACATCAAAAAATGACATGGGGAGAGTGGTGCACACCTGTCGTCCCAGCTACTCAGGAGGCTGAGGAGAAAGGAGCACCTTGAGCCCAGGAGGTTGAGGCTGCGGTGAGCCGTGATCGTGCCTCTAGCCCCAAGCAAGAGTGAGACCCCGACTCAAAATAAACTAAACTAAACTAATAAATACACACATGACTATAATATACCAACCTACTATCATGTGACATACTAACGAGAGTATGAATTTTACCCTCTGGGGAGAAATGATTTTAAATGCTGACTATTGACTTATTTTTGGAAGCATATTAAGGAATTCTGAACTTAAAGCGCTTCACAGAATTTTCAAGATGAAAGGCTTTTGAACCGAAAAAGGTTGAAATCATTAAGAGTAAGAAAGATTTGTACTCTGCACGCATGAGCTATGTGTCCTTTCCTTATTGAGCCTCCAAATCCATACCTGAAAAAGAGGGATTTTTTTGAAAGTAGCTACCACTTAGGGTGTTGGATACATTAAATGAAACTATGTAATGCCCGGAACAAGTGGGGAACAAGCCTCAATGCATGTTAGCCGCTAGCAGTAGGTGTTACTGCTACTGCTATTATTCTGCAGTTTGAGAAAATCGCAAACAGTATCCATCCACAATTTATGTGGCCTAGAAACCAAGCTCTTTAGAGAGACTGCATGACATCAATAAATATAATGTGAAATACATGATATACAGTTACTATCTAGTACATAACCGCATTCCTGAGACTACTTCAAAATCCAAAAGAACATTTCCACATTTACCTACACAGGGAATACAGTTATGTTTTATGAAATCCTTTACCCCCAGTCTGCCACTGACATTAATGGAAGCTATATCTAAAATACATATTACACATTCCTACTTATATAACCTTCATAAAATCGTTATGTTAATTTAGAGAATTTTACGGTAAAATACTTACAGATTTAGTTTTGCAAAGCTCTCCTGAGCATTCTGCTTCTCTCGCTCATATGCACTTTCAACCTCTTTGAACTCATTCTTGATCATTTCCAAATCAGCAACAGCTTCTGCTTGGCTGGCCTTTTCTACTTGCAAAGCCCCTTCAAGATCTCGAATCCGTAACTACCCAATGACAGAGAAGTAATTAAATCAGGCTAAGAAATATTAGCATCAATCTTAAATTGAGCAGAATACTTTCTCAACAACAGATTATCATCCACCCAAATACTTCTCTCTTTCTGTTTTGGTTTAAAAAGGGAAATAAACTAGAGTGTTTTCCCTTTCTCGATATGTTTAAAGGAAGAGAGGAAGAGTGAGTGAAAGAATAAACAGAAGAATTAATTGGGTTATGAAAAAGGACAGGCTGACACCACACAACTCATCCCATCAAAGTCAAATAGATACGTGGACATGACTCAATTTAAATTTTCCAGACTTCTAATTTTGACCTACATTCAGACATCTCTTTTATAAAATATGAAAAATTAAATGATTACTGAAAACTAAATCTTCAGGGGGATCTAAGTTTAAAAATCTTCAGGGAGATCTAAGTATAAAAAAAGATGAAAGGCCAGGCTCGGTAGCTCAGCCTGTAATCCTAGCACTTTGGGAGGCCAAGGTGAGTGGATTGCCTGAGCCCGCAGGTTCGAGACCAGCTCAGGCAACTTGGCAAGACCTCGTCTCTACACTAAAATAAAATAAAATAAAAAATAGCCAGGCGTGATAGTGCGCATCTGCAGTTCCAGCTACTTGGAAGGCTGAGGGAGAAGGATCGCTGGAGCCCAGCAGGTTGACACTGGGGTGGCCATGAGCGTGTCACTGCACTCCAGCCTGGGTGAAGGAATGAGACTCCAACTCAAAAAAAAAAAAAAAAAAAAGATGAAAAACTAAAGCGTGGTTTTCCGCCTCCCTTATGAGAAACATTATTACATGAACATCTTTCTAAGCCCAAGAAATTTAACAGATCTTTTCATTCCTAGAGATTTCTTACGATTGAAAGGTGAAGTTTTTATTGTCAAATACTACTATTTGACTGGAATATTTATGGTTGTAGTGATTTGATCTCTGAGATTTGCTTCAAAATAATCTGGAGGTGGGGAAGTTCAAGGGGATAACAGATAAAACACAACTGGCCTGAGGTAAGTATGGAAACTGGGTGATGAGTACGTGACGGTTCACTGTGTTATTCTACTCTTGAAATCCGACATAGGACATTAAAAACTAGATTCCTTGTGTCTACCAACAGTAGAATGAATAAACAAAGTGCACCCCCACAAAAGAATGATAGCAGCTGTAAAAAGCCTACAAAACCACTTTTAAAAGGCAAGTTTTCCATACAGTTCTCTATGTAAAATTAAAGAACAAAGTATTGCCGACAATACTGAAAACAGCAAGTTCCTTACCAGGGTATACAGCATAGTCTGCTAAATTTGGGGGTAGGCAGCAGGCTAAATAAGTGGAAAGAATAAAAAGCAGACAGGAGGGTAAAGGGATGAGAGGGACAGGAATAAAGCAAGAACCCTACCTTTTCAGAAATCCATGTTTAAAATAAAAGCAGTCTGCTAAAGTTTAAAAAGAGGTTTCTCATCTTCGAACAGTGAATAATATTATCTAAACTATCTGCTTCACGGGGTTGCTACAATGATTTAGTGAGGCAAAATTATTCAACAAATATTTCTTAAGGGCAATCGCTTCAGGTTCCCTCCCTCTGTGGGAGATTTCTTTCCTCTCAGTAAATCCTGCTTTAAAAAAATTTTTTTTAAGTACGTAATATGTGCCAGGCAATGTGCTGGTGCTCAAGATATATACAATGATCACGAAAATATAGAGAGAGAGTTCTTGAGGAATTCAGTCTTTCGTGGTAAGTGATTCCTGCAACAGAGGCGCGCACAAAGGGCCACGACATCAGAGAAGAGCTACGAACTCGGGGCGAGGCAGGTCGCACAGGGATGCAACCGACAACCTGAGTTGGGAAAGACAAATTCTTCAAGACACAAAGCCTTACGGTATGGAAATGGTTGAGAGATCAATCTTTGTAAATGATAATGATCAGAATTATTTCTAGTTGTCCAAAATAGTCTGGAATAATGGAAACATTTATTTTTACACTAAAGTTAGGAAATAAAACAGATATATATCTTCAATTCCATTTAAATTCTCAAACTGTGCCTTTTAAACTCTATTTCTTGTTGCTGTTTTGTCTAACTTCAATGTTCACAACTCAAATAGTAGATCAAGGAAATATTTTCTTCCTATCTACACTGCTATCTTCTTTTGGAAAATAAGCACATTCAATCATAAACGGCACATGAACAACCCAATTGAAAGAAAAAAAGACTGCAAATGAACAATTTTGATTCAACTATTTCTGTTTTAATGTCACTTTCTCATTTTTACACCACAGCATTCAATCAAATTTAATAACAGAAGACTTCAAATATACATTAAATTGTAACTGATGAAAAGGTGATGATTAATTACTTAGTAGTCTCCTTTGCATTTAAACTACTCTGCAAATGAATGCTACTAGACGTACCTCATTGAAAAATACCTGTCAATATTTATAGATTTATAGGTCAAATATAAAATTCTGCTTTCTTCTAAGTCATACCACTGTTAGATATCAAATATTAATATAAGTAAAAATATGTAGGTAATGATTTTTGTTCTTATAGCAATTACCTACATACTCCCAGTGTTATAACTACAATAAAAAACTAAATTTTGAAATATACTTCCTTAATGAATTTAAAACTTCAGCTGCAATGGCTTTCCACTGCATTCAAAACAAGTTTCTTAGCATGAAAAAGAACTTCCAAAATGAGTCTTGATCACAACTTTTCAACATTTTCTCCAAACTTTCACCTACGGTCTATCACACGACACTGGACAGTATTTAAAAAACAAAAAACAAGCACACTCTTATTTAGTGGTTTTATTCATGTAATTCTCTTTACTTAGAAGAGTGGTCAACAAGCTATTTCTGTAAAAGGCCAGAGAGTAAATATTTTAGGTTTTGTCAGCTTTAGGGTTTTGGTTTTGACAAGTGGCCATAGACAATATGTCACCAAAGGGGCATGGTTATCTTCCAATAAAACTTTATTTACAAAAACAGGCTGCAGGTCAGACTTGGTCCTAGGGCAGTCGTTTGCCAACCCCTAGGTAAAATGCTAGGCCTTTATTTCTAGAAATTTCTTCTCATTCGCTAAGACAGAGGTCACTACCCTTCTGCATCAGGGACTAGTATCGTGAAAGACCATTTTTCCACGTGTAGGGGTAGAAAGTGTAATCATCAAGCGTTAGAGTCTCTCTTTTTTTGGGGGGGGGGTTGGAGTCTCACTCTGTTGCCCAGACTGGAGTGCAGTGGCACGCTCCCAGCCACCGCAGCCGCAACCCTCTGGGCTCTGGTGAGCCTTCCTCCTCAGCCTTCCAAGTTGCCAGAACTACAGGTGCACGCCACCACACCCAGCTAACTTTTCATTTATTGTAGAGACGAGGGGTCTCCAAGTTGCCCGGGCTGGTCTTGAACCCGCAGGCTCAGGCAATCCACTCGCCTCGGCCTCCCAAAGTGCTGGGATGACAGGTTGAGTCTCATAAGGAACGACAACCTAGATCCCCCATACGTACCATTCACAATAGGGTTGGCTTCTACAGGAATCTAAAGTGGCAGCTGATCTTACAGAAGGCAGAGCTCCACTCTCCTGTTGCTCACCCCCTGCCATGTGCCCAGGACCTAACAGACCACCGACTGGTCCCCACCCAGGGGACTGGGGACTCCTGCGCTAAGACCCAGCAAAAATAAAAATTTTTTTTCCTTAGGCTGTCTCCATTTTCCCTCCTAGATTTAATCCTTTTTTAAATTATGCTCCCATAGTATTTTAATTCTTTGTGTAGCTATCTATGCACCTATATATCCATATATACACAGCTATATGCATATAAGTGTATCTCTGATAATGAGATGTAATTTCCAAAAAGAGCTTACTCACCTTTACACTTTCAGCTCTTAATAGAGTGAAAGGTGATATGTACAGTATATGCACTCATTACATAAGGTGCGTATTCTTAAAATGCTCTCAAAAAGAAATTGATCTCATGGCTGTTGATAACAAGAGCACTCTAGCTAGTTTTTCTGCAAAGGCCATATGGTCTCAGGCCTCTGTCTCAAAACTGCACTCTGCCACTGCAGCACAAAAGAGGCCATAAAAAAGACAAAACTTCAGGACAGTGAGTGAGACCCGCCTGTAGGCTAGAGACTGTCCACTCCTCCACGAATGTAGCACATCCTGAACTCTGTCCTTACCGCAAAATACAGCAGTGAGCGTCATAATACACCACCCCACTCCAAACGCACACCTTAGTTCTCTGAACGTCGTGCTGTTTTTCCCAGCTATTGTAACACAGCTTAAGAAAATCCACACCGTTAATTAACGGTAGCAAATATCTGTCTGGGGATGGGGAAGCACCCCCTTATCTATAGGGTGTCTGAATGAAACGTATTTGTATACCTAACCCTTAACTGTACCCCACAACATCATAATAAAAATATTGATTATAAAAAATAAATAAATAAATAAAAATAAAAGAGAAAAAAAAGAAAGAAAATCCACACCAAAAGTATCTGTTTACATTTTACCTGAATAATTTCAGAATTAAATTTTGACTCCAAATGGGCGGCTCTTTCTGCTTCAATATTTTCTTCTAATTTCCTCACTCTTAGAGTCATTGCCTGAAAACAAATTCAAAGTTGAAACTCATCAACATTGGTATTTAAAGTAGGTATGGATCACGCTATTCCAGAATTGTAATGAACACTGTAGATTACTGCAGCTGTAGCCTCATTTTTTTTTTTTCTTTGCAGGAGTGGAAGGTAAAAATTATGCCCAGGATGAATGCTCCAGAGATGGGTGTTTTTTTTTCGATAAACTTTCAGGAGGTACAATTTACATATAATAACATATACATGTTGAAAGTGTATACTTTTAAAGTTTTCCTGTGCCTTCCTCCAGTCCTCTCTACCCCACCCCACCCCTTCCCCAAAAAATCACCACTCTGATTTTTGTCAATCTAGAGCAGTCTGAATTTTCTGGAATTTTCTATAAATTCAATCATACATGTACACTTTTTATTGTCTAGTTTCTTTCTCCATAGATAATTATTTTGTGATTCATGCATGTGGTTGCATGTATCAATAGTTCAATTCTTTTTATCGTTAAAATAGTATTCCACTGGATTGATATACCACAGCTGGCTTACTGTTCACCTGCTCATGGACATTTGAGACGTTTCTTGTTTAAGCTGCCATGAGCATTTGTGTACAAGTCTCTGTAGGGACACACACTTTCATTTCCCTGGGGGTAAATAATGAAGCATGGAATGACTGGGTTAAATGATGGGTGTATGCTGAATATTTTAAGAAACTGTCACACTGCTGCCCAAAGTGGCGGTGCCAGTTTACATTCCTAACAGCAATGTATGAAATATTCCATTGTTCCACTTCCTCAACCAACACCTGACATGGTCATTTTTGCTGCTGTCGTTGGGTTTGGGGGGGTGGTTTAGGACATTCAAATAGGTCCGTAATATTATCTCATTTTAGTTTTAATTTGCAATTCCCTATTGAGCAACATTGCGTATCTTTTCTTGTATCTATTTGTCATGCATATATCTTCTTTAGTAAAGTCTCTACTCAAATATTTTTTGCCATTTTTTAATTGGGTTGCTTTCATATTCTTGAGTTTTGAAAGTTAATTATATAATCTGGATACGAGTCTTTTGTTGGAGATGTGATTTGCAAATATTTTCTCCCAGTCTAAGGTTTGTCCTTTCATTCTCTTAACTGTGCCACCTGCAAAGCAAAAGTTTTCATTATGGTGAAGTCTAATTTGTCAGTTTTCAGGCAAGAGTCAGTTTCAGGCCAGAAGTCAAGACCTTTATTTTTGAATGCCATTTTTGTTAAGAAAACGCAACCCTAGGAAAGCACCAGATTACTAGTCCCGAAGAGAGAACGTAACTGGTCATGACTTAAAGCCTGTCGGGGGACAGGGAAAACAAAACTATGGGAACACCCAGTATGTCACAGGATGACAGTAGTCAGGAAAGCCATGTCTAGAATTCTGCTGTCAGACATAAATATTTGAGTGGAGATAGAGAAAGGCATTCAAATTTGATTTCCTTTTCTAGAGAAAATTTGGGTAAGAAATAAGTTAATATTCATTACATTTACTCAACCATGTAGCCCAAGTCAAGTTTTTAAAGTGTTCAACTTGTTTAATCTGATTTTTCTTCTTTTCTCCCATTTCTTTCTGTTTACGCAGATGGTGGTGGGTCACAACAAGAAGAGATTGGATAATCCACAGACTAATCAAGCAGTCTGCGAACAATTAAGAAATGACGACACTTTTTTTGGGGCAAAGCATATGCCCATAATGACTATTACCGTGCAGAGCATAAACACAAACATCCCTTCTCTAGAAAGCTTTTTTTGGATGCGCTTATATTGATGGTCTTCATAGTCAAGGAGCAATTCTGTTGGGGTTTAATCATTCTGAGTTCCACAAACATGAAACTCACAAAATATCTTTTAACATTGAACTATTTGCTTATTTAGATTTTACATTCCTATCAATATTTCTTTTTTTTTTAGAAACTATGTCTTGCCAAGTTGCCCAGGCTGATCTCGAACTTGCTCAGGCAATCCTCTAGCCTCAATAATATTTCTTAATAAGATACTACACTAGAAAATAGTTTTCTCACAGGCCAGGAAGCAGTAAATTCAAATATGATCTTTTAGGGTCTAAAGACTATTCTTTTTTTTTTTTTGAGTTGGAGTCTCACTCTGTCACCCAGACTGGAATGCAGTGGCTGCTCCCAGCCACCGCAGCTTCGACCTGCTGGGCTCCAGTGATCCTTCCACCTCAGCCTTCCAAGTAGCTGGAATTACAGGCATGCGCTACCAGGCCCGGCTGATTTTTTTATTTATTGTAGAGATGAGATCTCGCTGCCCAGGCGGGTCTCGAACCCACGGGCTCAGGCAATCCACTCTCCTCAGCCTCCCAAAGGCACGGGATTACAAGCTGAGCCACCAAGCCCGGCAAAACTCTATCTTTTAAAAATACATATTGAAGTGTTCATGAATGAGACTATGTGATATCTGGGTATGCTTTAAAATCATCAAGCTGCAGGTTGGGGTGGGGGTCAGTATTCATGAAATAATATTATCCATAAACCGGCAACTGTTGAAGATAAAGCTGGGCTCAGTAGATCATACCTGTAATCCCAGCATTCTGGAAAGCCTAGGTGGGGGGTTGGCTTCAGCCCAGGAGTTCAAGACCAGCCTAGGCAACACAGTGAGACCTCATCTCTGCAAAAAATAAATGAACCGGGCGTGGCGGCCTATGCCTGTAGTCTAAGCTACTCGGGAATCTGAGGCAGAAGGATCTCCAGAGCCCAGGAGGACGAGACTGCATGACCTATGGTCACACCATGACAATCCAACCTTGGTGACAGAGTGAGACCATCTCAAAAAAAAAGAAAAGAAACTAAATGAGGGCACGTTCGTTATATTCATTACATTATGCTTATCTGAATTCATTATACTATTTTTCTACTTTCCTGCATGTTTGAAGATTTCTATGTTGCACAAAAATTCTTTAATAGCAACAAAAGCAAAGTTATTCAAGCTAAAGAGGAGATATGGGGCCGGTATCATTATTTACCCAATTAACAAAATCATATTTTGATAACGACAACAAATATTCATGAGAATGAATTAAGCCACGCACGCTTAAACAGAAAAAGGAAACGGGAAGTGGAAGCTGAAGTCTATCGATTCCTACATATACTGTTGACATAGATGAGGCAAAGAAAATGTTCCTTACATACTCACTTCTTTCCCACCCTTCTCGAAATCTGCTTCCACAAAATACCAGTCTCATGAGATGTCATCAGCTATTATATGAAAAAGCAATGTTATCATACTGTATGTGAGAAATACAGAATTAAAGCCAAACCATTTTCTTTTTTTTTTCTAAAGCTCCAAATAACCAGACAATTTTCTTTACAGAAGACTTTGAAAAACATCAATATGACAATCCTGAAGAACAAAGTCAGAAGACAGATTTCACAATTCTAAAACTTACTCTGAAGCTAAAATGATCAAAGCAATGTGGCAGAAGGATAGACCCCAGATCCATCAAGAGTCACAGAAGGCCGGGCTCAGTGGCTCAGCCTGTCATCCCAGCACTTTGGGAGGCCAAGGTGAGTGGACTGCCTGAGCCGGTGGGTCTGAGACCAGCCCAGGCAACTTGGTGAGACCTCATCTCCACAATAAAAAAAAAGAAAATAGCCGGGCGTGGTAGCGCGCACCTGTAGTTCCAGCTACTTGGAAGGCCGGGGCAGGAGGATCGCTGGAGCCCAGCAGGTCGATGCTGGGGTGGCCATGAGTGTGCCACTGCACTCCAGCCTAGGTCACAGAGTGAGACCCCAACTCAAAAACTAAAATTTTTAAAAAAGAGCCACAGAAAAGAACTGGGAGTCCAGAAATAAGCACACAAATTGATGGTCAATATATTTTTTACAATGGTGCCAAGACCATTAAATGAGGAAAAAATAATCTTTTCATTAAATGATTCTCAGGCAGTGAACAAAGAAATATACAGAATGTATTTGGATCCCATACGCCATATCATATACCAAAAATTTCAAAATGGATCAATGACACAAATATATGAGCTAAAACCATAAAACTCTTAGAAATCATAGGGGTAAATTTTCATGGCCTTAAAACTGACAATGGATTCTTAGCTATAACATTAAAAGCACAAGCAACAAAAGAAAAATGGATAAATTGGACTTCAACAAAATTAAAAACTTCCTGCAGCACTATTCACTATAGCAAAGATCCGTATTTTTTTTTTCTTTGAGTTGGAGTCTCACTCTGTAGCCCAGGCTGGAGTGCAGTGGCACGCTCATGGCCACCACAGCCTCGACCCGCTGGGCTCAGGTGATCCTTCTGCCTCAGCCTTCCAGGTAGCTGGACTACAGGCTCAGTTAAAATCTAATAAAAATATGGGTAAAAGACTTTTCCAAAGAAGATATACAAATGGCCAATAAGTATATAAAATGATGCTCAACATTATAAATCATTGGTGAAATGAAAATCAAAACCACAAAGAGATACTTCACATCCACCAATGTGAAACAGAAAGTAAGTATCAGCGAAATGTGGAAAAACTGGAAACCTCAAACACCACCGGTAGGAATGTAAAAATGCTCCAGTTGCCATAGAAACCAATTTGGTAGTCCCTCAGAAACTTAAACACAGAGTTAACCTATGATCCAGCATTCCCATTCCCATGTATATACCCAAGATAAATGAAAGCACATTCAAACAAAAAAGTGGTTCCCAAAAGTTAATAGCATCATTTCTCATAATAGCCAAAAATGAAAAGGACCCAAATGTCCATCAACTGATGAATAAATAAATAAGATGTTGTTATCTATACAATGGAATATCATCCAGCCAGAAAAAGGACTGAAGTGCCAACACACCACGGATGAACCTTGAAAACATATATAAAAAAGTAAAAGAGGCTGGGCGTGGTGGCTCACACCTGTAATCCAGGTACTTTGGGAGGCTAAGGCAGGAGGATTAATTGAGCCCAGGAGTTGGAGACCAGCCTGGGCAACACAGCAAGTCCAAAACATCTGCCGGGCATGATGGTCCCA